TTTCAGATTGAACAAAAGCCCAGTCCTTTAGAATTTGGGCTTAGAAAATAAGTAATTGTCACTTAGTATAATCAGTATTACAACCACAGATTTCATCTAATAATGATATTTCTTATCTTATAAATAAGAGATAAAGATTTGATTAAAAGTTGTTATGAAAAATATACAAAACTTGGAAATCAGGCAAAAGAATGACTGTATGTCCTTTCAATGTTACAATGGAGCATCATCTAAGAGGCTCTCCCAAAGATTATTCAGACAAATGCACCTTTATTAAACTCACCATTTACTATGGTATAGGGTCCAGACTTTAAGAAGGACATGCATCTCCTCCAGCCCAGTTATGTGTCTCATAGTGCAGTTATGTGTCATTCTCCTCAATCTTTTTTTTTTTTTTTTTGAGATAGAGTCTCGCTCTGTTGCCCAGGCTGGAGTGCAGTGGTGCATTCTGGGTTCACTGCAAACTCCGCCTCCTGGTTTCAAGTGATTCTCCTGCCTTAGCCTTCCAAGTAGCTGGGATTACAGGTATGGTATGAAGTGTCACCATGCCCAGCTAATTTTCGTATTTTTAGTAGAGATGAGCTTTCATCATATTGGCCAGGCCAGTCTTAAACTCCTGACCTCAAGTGATCCACCTGCCTAGACCTCCCAAAATGCTAGGATTACAGGCCTGAGCCACTGCACTCAGCCAGCCTCCTCAATCTAACACACCGCTGCCGCTTCATGCATTAGCCCAGTGAATTCAGCCTTCCATTAAGCTTCTCTGAAGGATTTTGGCTCTTTTATTAGGGCCTATTTCTAATCAAGTGATTGATATCAACTTTAATTATTGTTTGGACCAGTTTCTCAGCTAAAAAAAAAATATGTTTCATTCTCATAATTCCAAAAGGTAATTATGAAAATGAAATCAGTTCCCCAAAGTCATATTATTTACTTGACTCTCTTTATAAGGCTGCCATAGGGATGCAAAGACAGGAGCGGTATCTCTTCTTACATGCAAAAAGACACGTGGAAAAGCACAGGACATATGTCTCACCAACTCCACACTCTCCCTCAAACTAGAACTGCCCAGCCTGCTTGGGGAGGATGAGAAGGTAAGAGAGCCATAATTTCCCCAGGCACAAGCCAGAGTTGGAGGTGAAATTTAATTTCAGTAACGTTTACTCCCACCAGATTGATTGATTTGGGAAATGAATTGAGCAAATTGGTCATTGGCTTGGGGGTTCTGGATATAACCTGTGTCTTCGACTATGATTCCAAAACTATCCAAGTTAATGTGATAAATTTTGTCCAAAATCCAGCAAGCCAGCCATCTGGATGTTTTGGCATCGTTGTTGAGGGTTTTACTGGATTACTGCCTGAATTGAGAGAACTTTTTGGTGTAGAATGCCAATGTTGCTGGTTGAAATGACAATTTTTAGTCCTTTATAATTGAACTGACTAGATAATTGGGTATGATATGGCCAAAGCTACAATCACAGTTATAACCTCTCTGGGTCTAGTTTCCTCATTGGCAAACTGGGAATTACAATACTGTTACAGACTGTTCTCCATCCCTCACAAATTCATATGAAACCTCATCCCCAATATGACAGTATTAGGAGGTGGAGCCTTTGGTAAGTGATTAGGTCATGAGGGTGGAGCCTTCATGAATGGGATTAGTGCCCTAATAAAAGCAACCCCACAGAGTCACCCCACCCCTTCCACCTTGTGAGGACACAGTGTGAAGGTACTGTCTATAAACCAGACAGCAGGCTCTCACAGATACTGATTCTGCTGGTGCCTCCAACATGTGAAGGGGAGCAGACCTCACAAGTCTATGAGAAGGAGAAGATGGGACAGTGCTGTGGGACAGCACCCTGAAATGCTTAGCATGGGTGAAGCACGTTGTAGGGAGCATAGCAAAACATCAGGTAAAATGTAATTGAGCGAAGAAACTGTCTCCACATAGGCTATATTAGTCATTTTTCCCCTTATTTTAGACTATTCCTTTATGGAAAAACATACCTCTCCATCATCAGAAATAACCTCCAGACATGTTTATACACATCCATGCACACCTTGCACCTAGCAAATAATTTTTTTGCTGTCTTTCATGAATTGACATTGAGAGCTTAGCCTTTAGCGTGAGAGTTTTCACAGTAATGTGATGCCTGAGCCACTTCCAGATACTCTGTCTAGAGTAAAAAAAATGAGTTAGAAAAATGAGCTGCTGCTTTTGCCACATGGCTGTGACACGTGCCTCACATCTATGCCAACTTAGGCCATGTCTCTTACTGAAGGGTTGGTGGTGGAATCCAATCCTGTAGGGAGTTGCTTTCAGGGTGAATGATGGGAAGCTTTGCATCTCCATGCTCTTTGATCTCTGGAAGGACCCAGGGGATGCAGAGATGGAGGGATGTCTTTTGCCAGCTTTCTGGGATGAGGAAAGGAGGCAACCCTTGTCTTAGGAAACACCTGAGTTAACAAGATCTAGTGGTGGTGGAGAAGAATTTCTGGGGAGAAAATCTGACTCTTTAAATGGCAGGTGGATGAGCATTTGACTGAGTATTTGATCAAGTTTCTGGATTTGAAGGATAGAAAGAGACTTTTGTGACAAGCAAAGTCATTTGTAAATGGTGGATCTTATTTTATTCTTTTGATTACAAAACAAAGCTTTCATCAAGACCCCTGCCCGCTTCTTCTTGGGCCATATTAGCACAAAAACTGAAAGGTTTGAGCTACCTTCTCAGAACAAAATGAGGGGTGTATGCGTGCAGTCATGAGCCTAAATTATCAGATTCTTGTCTGGTTTTTTTTCTCAAGGTCATCCAGGGGTACACAGAAATGGTGACTATTTTCAATTCTTTATTTTTTTAAGGTCATGCAACTTTAGTCTTATGCTATGTTTCTTTGTCTAAATATATGCAGTGTGTGTGTGTGTGTGTGTGTGTGTGTGTGTGTAAGAATTAATTGTCCTGGCAAAAGAAAAATAACTGATGGGCCAGATCAGTACCAAGGAGATGGATTGCTTATGTTAGTAATAATATTACTGTTGATATTAGTATTAATGTTATTATCACTATTTATACCACAAATATTAGTATTAGGGTTAGAGTGAAAGACCTCCGAGGAGTAGACCAACCCTAAGATTTTAAGATTTTTTGATTTAGTGATATTCGTATTGAATTACCCCTTGGGCTATTATATTACATGCTCAGTGCACTTAATGTTTGGGTTTGTACCCATTCATTCCCACTTTTTCTCACATGGAGAAGGGGAGACAGCATTTTGGGTGGAAGGGACAGCCCATGCAAAGGCCTGGAGGTGGAAATGAGCCTGTGAGGACAAGGGAACTCCTGAGGGACTTGGTTCCCCTTGGACCTTCTTTTGAGACCAGGATTGTGGAGCAGCCCAGCAGGGCCATGTGGACCTCCATAAGGTCTGAGTTAGAAGATGCTTCCATTAATGTAGGAATGCTCATGAAAAGGTGAGGTTTCCATTTGGGCCAAACCTGGGGCTAGGTAAGGGCGTGCTACAGCCTTGTAGCCCATAAACTTTCTAGCACATAAACATCCTTGTCCTCTTTATGAAGGATCAATAAGGCTGGCCTTACTTTGGTGAATGCAATTAGAGCTGTCAGCCAAAGTAGGCGACACTTTAGATCACTTCTGTCATCAAAACTCGGTCAACTCCATGAGCAGCCCAGGAACCCTGCTTAAGCAATGCTAGAACGACAAATAAAAATGGATGTTACATTCTTGGAGCTGAAGGCCTAGTCTCGGATTTCCAAACCAACATTCCACATCCAGTCTTCCAGGAGCAGAATTGTATGGACTTGTGCATGTCCACATTTCTCCTGCCCCAGCCTCCCAAGATGGGGGTTCTCTGGCTTTCATAAGATTCTCCAGAGGGTCCGTGATCTTAGAAAGTTAAGGAGCACTGGTTTGGTACAGAACTTGGTCAGAAATAGTTCAATCTTTGGTTTTGTCACTGCTTGACCCATATAAAAATGAGCCACTCGGTTGCTTGATCCATGCCCTCTGTAAAGGGATCCAGATCTAATCCTCTGAGCTGGCTAAGGATTTCCTATCACACCCGTTCCTCATTTTGTCCCTCCCTCTTTAGTCTCAAAAGCTCCCAGACCTGGTCTCCCCCTTGGTTCACCAGCATGGCCACGGTTACAAAGCTACACTCATAAGGACCAAACCAACCTTTTCTAGCACTTTAGACTGTTCCCATTTCTATGTTACTTCAATTATTTGTTCTATCCATAAAATATTTGTATTTTATGCTATCCTGACATTTAATAGACACCAGGCCTGGCTTTCTTCTGCACTCCCTGCGGTGATATCCCAGCAACATTTTTACAAATGTCACCATTCCCATTACCATGAATAACCAACATTTGTAATTAAAACTTTCATACCCGATGTTTGTTAAATGGGCTGTTTTGTTTCTATGTATTTCCAGATGTGTTTCCTTTGAGCCTTGCACTACTGCTGGAGGCAGGCAGGAGAGGTACTCCCCATTATTTTCAGAGATAAGACAACAGAGTAGAGCCTAAGGAGTTAAGTGGCTGGCATGCGGTTTGGAGTAAGTTAGAGACACAGCCAGAAATAGAACGAAGGTCTGAAATTTCCCTTCTTGCTTCCTGCCACACTATACCTTGTGTACATTTTTTTGATGAGGAGTCAGATTTTATTTTAAGTCACTCCAAGGCCCTTAACTGGCATCTTGTTTTAATTATGCCACTTACAGACTGAATGTATTAAGGTTTGACCACTTAAGTCACTCTGGAGGAAAGCGCTGGAACTGGGCTTTTCATTGGATTGGCCAAAGATAAATCAATTCACATGTGAATTTCAAACAAATGATTCTATTTTATTAGGCAGATAGAGTGAGCTTTTACCCCTGCACGTTATAGTTACTAATCGTCTCCTATTTCCAACACTTAATATTCTTTTCTTTTCCTTTTGTTTATCTGTTCTGCTGGAGGGTTAATATTTCATGGAGTGGAAACTTGGATTATTGCACTGATCTTATTAGGCAAAAAATGCTGCATTTCCTTTATTTAGCATTCAGGAGCAGGATCTTTGCACCTCTGCATACTCTCCTCTTTTCTACTCTATGCACAGCAGAACCAAACCTAGGACACCAGCCAAAGCTTTGGATGGTCTGGAATGTGGATTAAGAGCTGTATGCATAGCCCAGAACTGGCCCAGGAGGAGGAAGAGAAATAATTCCTAATGTTGACAAGTCCAACTCTGAAATGTCCATAGCACTATGGAGCCTCTGGATGGATGGACGTAACAAAGTCCCTTCCTCATTGCGATTATTGGCAAACAACCTTTGCCTGTTTCGTCACCTTCCGCAGGTGCCAAGTCTCCCTGGTATAAAGTCAAGTAGGAGATGAAAGTGAGGTAGGTCGTTGGGGCAGTGTATTCATTCTATGGATAATTAGTACCTAATAACCTTGTGGATCAACCAGAGTTAGCCCAGTTGGCAAACAAGTGTTTTCATACGTGCTGAAGGGTGCCACATATGGTGCAGGGAAGTCAGTGGTGGGGTGAAGAATATGGAGACCTGGTTACCCCCAGAAGTGTTTCTTATTTGAAGAAGATCTCCATATTTAGGTGTGGCCTGGGGAGCGATACTGAAAGAAAAGGGCTCACCTGAGAAGGCACCAGCCCTGCGCAAGAAGGGAGTAGCAGAGGCCAGAACCCTGGCTATGGGATCCTGGGCCTGGAGCCTGAGGAGGAACAGGGTGGCTCTGTGCCAGGGGGACACATCCTTTTTCCTGGAATTTGCCAGGAAATGTGATAGGAATCACATCAGAATGAAGCCAGGCTAAAATAGCCTGGTTATTGCCATTTCCAATATTTCTAGCAGCCAAGTGGTAATAGGACCACCCTCCAGGATCTCCGTGTCCTGATTAACAAGCCCCATTACCTCTGGGCAGACCAATGGAGTCATTAATTGTGGTCTGACTATCCAAAGCCTTTCTGATTTAAGTAGGAAAATTCCCAAGATTTCTTTTTGGGGGGTGATCTTTCAGGAGCCTTTGGGATGGGAGGAAATCTGTCTATGCAGGTATGAGTCGGCTTATTTCTTTATCACACTGGAAGACCTAGTTTGAAATTTCTCATGAACTCAAATAACAAGCAATACTCTGTCAACCAGGATACAGTTTAGCTACAGTGGCTAAACTGATGTCTCTTTGGATGTATTATGCTACTAACGCATTGATGAAATGAGCAAGTGTATTCAGCATTCTTTAATTTAAGTCAACTCAGGAAATATTTCTTAACTCTCTATTTTGTACAGAGCATGGCAGTCTGTGAAAAGAATTTCAGGAAATTCTGTAGTAAGGGCAGAGGGAGCCTGAATATAGGGCTGATAGCTTTCCATTTCTGGTGTTCCCTTTTAAACCTGACAAATCAAGGAGAAGCCGGAATTTGACAGTTAAAAAATGAAAACATGTTGAAACCTGCCATGGCATTTTCTGGAGTCCTCACTTCCTAACATGCAGCTGCCCTGATGGGACAAATTGCACTCCAACCTAGCTTCGCTTGGTACCTCAGCTACTTATGAACCGTTACCACATTTGGAAGATGCATTTAATACTTTTTCAGTAGCCTAAAATCAAGTGGCCCATTAGGCTGCATACAGGTGACCTTCAGAAATATTCAATAGAGACCGCCTTAGAGAGTGGAGGAATGTAATAATGGGATGCTTTCCGTTAGGTAATTAGACACTGAATAGAAGAAAGATTTGCTGTATGGTGGAAGGAAAATTTATCTGATAAGCAATTTCAGCAATGGGGAGGCATATCCGGCATTTCTCCATAGAGATGGGCTCTCCACAAACTTATACACTGATTAAGTTTGCCCTTGGGACCCGCAGACCCATCCTCTGCTCCATTCCTTACTTCCAGGAGCTCTGCATTTCAGTGTACAGGGCACTGTCCTCGGATACCTGTCAAAAGCTGCTCTTTTCTCTGATGGGACTCTTCTACGATTCACTCCAGCCAGTTGCTCCCACCACCTTTCTCCATCGTTTACTCCAAATGCCAGCAACTAGCCAAATATTCTTGTTTTCCAGCTTTGTTCTCCTGTGCTTAGAGAGCATACTTTTAAAGATGTTTTGAATTTTGTTGAAAATTGCTTTACATCCCAGCAGTGTATAATCAATTTTAACAAATGTTCTATGTGTACTTAAAAAGAATGCGCATTCTGCAGCAGCTGAATGCAGTGCTGTGCTAAAAACCCCTCACTCTACCTATGGATTTGCACATTTCGCCTTTCAGTTCTGTCAATATTTGCTTTAGATATTTTGAGCTATATCATTGGGTATGTAGAAATTTAGAATTTGTTTTATGGTCCTGTTGGATTGACTCTTTAATCACTATAAAATATTTCTCTTTATCTCTTATCTACTTTATGCAATAACCATATACCCACCTCCTTGGCCTTTTATTTAAAGTATACATGTTGAATTATATTTTATAATTCTCTTACTTTTAGTCTTTCTGTACCTTTATACTTAAAGTGTGTTTCTTATAAGCAATAGTTTTTAAGTCTAATTTCACAATCTTTGTCTTTTAAATGGAATAAGCCTACATATTCATATTTAAGGGTATATTTGAGTTTAAATCTGTTATTCTACAATTTATTTTCTATTATTAGCTCACCTCTATATGTTTCTTTTTATCCCTTTCTTGCCTTTTTTTTGACCAATCAAGTATTTTTATTAATCTGTTTTCTCCCTCTATTGGCTTGTTAGTTATATGATTTCTTACTATTTTTAAATGTTACTCTCAAAATTACAGCATTTATTCTTGATTTAGAATAAATATACATTAATATTTTACCACTGTTTATATAATTCAAGGTCTTTAGAACACTTTATTTATTCCCTCTGTATTTTATTTTATAAAGTAGGCCTTTAAAATTATTTACACTCCTCTGTTTCTTTTTCTTTTGCTTTTGCTTTTTTTTTTTTTTTTTTTTTGAGACGGAGTTTCACTCTTGTTACCCAGGCTGGAGTGTAATGGCGCCATCTCGGCTCACTGCAACCTCCGCCTCCTGGGTTCAGGCAATTCTCCTGCCTCAGCCTCCCGAGTAGCTGGGATTACAGGCACGCACCACCATGCCCAGCTAATTTTTTGTATTTTTAGTAGAGACGGGGTTTCACCATGTTGACCAGGATGGTCTCGATCTCTTGACCTCGTGATCCACCCGCCTCGGCCTCCCAAAGTGCTGGGATTACAGGCTTGAGCCACTGCGCCCAGCCCTTTCTTTATTGTTATTATTCACCTGTTAGGACAACACATCCTTTTATGGGGGCTTACGTTTTGCTTCATCTTTCTGTTATTTATTGCATAATTTAAAGTAATTTTTTCAAGGAGTTCTCAAGCCTCTAAATGTCTAAAATTGGCCTTCTCTTGCATTCCCGCATCAATGACAACTTCTCCGAATATAAAACATAGCATTCACAAACGTTAACCCTTACTGAGAATATTATTTTAAATCATGAGACTTAAAGCAGTATTTTTTAAACTGTAATTCAAATATTTTCCAGTTTTTGTCTAGAGGGTCTCTTCTCATTGGTTTACCTGTTACAGTTCTCTATTTGTTTGTTTGTTTAGGCCTTTAAGTACCAAGCTAAGCTCTATGCCAAGGATATAACAATGAAAGATAAAATCACTGCTTTTACATATACTTGGGGGTTCAATAAATAAAATATTCATTAAAATTTAATAGGTTAAGGACCATAATATGGGATCACAGAAGAACACCAAGTCCAGATGAGAGTCTCAGGTAAGGCTTCCTGAGGAACATCTAGGATCTTCTACACTGCAATCATTTCTGGATGGTATTATTGTTATTACTTTAAATCTAGCCTCTGCCTCTCTGAAAACAGCCATAATCAGAATTGTAAGAAACATATCTTTGTGACCATGGCTGGGACTCCCTCCTAGTTGGCCTGAGAAAGACTATTTATCTTCTCCACCAGTTAGTCTGGGAGGAAGTTATACCTGCGGGAGGAATTGTAATTTAATATTATTCATGGTAATTAATACCTGGAAGATTGCTCACTGGTCTCAGTGCAGCCATTGACCAGAGACTTAGGGCTTTTGAGGAACTGGTGCTGAGAAATTCTAAGGTTGGGAAATTCTATGGCCTCTTCAAGCACAGTGTGATAAATGACTTGTATGACATTTTCAAATACTCTTGGAGGCAGATAAACATGACATCTTAACTTGCACATTTTTCACCTTCCTCCCCTAGCAATGTTTGTTTACAAAGATTGATGAGGCTGAAACAAATAATAAAAACTGTTATTTGTCTTAATTCGGTTTTTCCCAGAAGAAGACCTTGAGACAAGGTTTCAAGCGCAAGTTGTGAATTTGGAAGGTGCAGAGAACACCAGCATTGAAGTGAGGCAGTGAGACAGGGATGGAAAGAGAGCCAGTAAAGGGTGCATTCTCAGGACAGCTACTACAAAGGGCAACCGGAGCTTCATCTCCAGTGGAGACCTCCGATAGCAAGTGTAGAGCACATGCCTTAGAGTTATCTCACCCAAGAGGCAGAAGATCTAGGATAGCTGTACAGCAGTTCTGGGTAGATCATGGTTGAGGGCTTCTCCCAGATGAGTTGATACCAGCCCTTGCAGCTGGCCTATGATGAGTGTGGGTAGAGTGGCCTTCAAGGAATTTAGAGAGAATCCTCACACGGAATAGAGATACTGGCAGTCAGGAGTGGGTAGGGGCTCTCTGAAGTAGTTAGGCCCAAGTGCTGTGGACAGGGTCAGTGTCTGCTCCTGGTTCTTCATGTTGTTTGTCCAATGCACACTAATCCTCATAAAATAACTTCTAGGATTAAAAAAAAAATCCTACTGTTTGGATCCTTGACGTAAAATAAGCAAGCAAACAAAATATGTTTGAAGAACTCAAATGGAATAATCTCTTCTCTCCTCCTGGAACATCCAGCAACTTTCATATTTGTCATCCGAAAATACATAAAAATGATGACATGAATGATTGAAACAATATGATTAGTAAAGTATAATTAATAACTTTTTCAAACTTTGTCTTATAAAAGTTTTATTTATCTTATAAAGCACATTACATTATGATTACAGAATGTACCTTCTTGCTAATTAACCACAGGATATTAAAAAATATTGAAAAATGTAGTCAGCTGTGAGAAAATTAATAACAAAAATCATAAGTCAGAAAGATGAATATATGTAATCTATGTTCTCAGAGGAGAGTGTAACATAACTGGGAACAACAACAAAAGGTTAAACAAATTTCTGTATACTATTTTGAATAAATTTTTGATTAATGAGGAAATAAAGTGATTTGAAAACAGCTAATTGAAAAATAATGAGAATAAGAATAATTCATATTTAAGATTATGGAATATGCATAAAGTTGTTCTCAATAACTTGTAGTGCTAAATACATATTACATTTAAAAAGTGAAAGCAAGAGAAAATAATTTCAACTAAAAAGTGAAGGAAAAAGGAACAAAGAAAGCAGATAGAAATATATTAAAATAAAAAACAAAAAATAAAATCAGCAGCAGAAAAATGAACAGTGGCATGAATAGATAATGAATCTCAAAGAGTATCTTTGAAAAGAATCAATAAAATGGTCCAGCTGCTGGAAAATCTAATTTTAAAATGCCTTAATCAAAATGAAAAAAAAGAAAAAAATGGCTAGAACTTACATAGAAGTTTTAAAAAATTATAATAAAGTGCTTATATTTTGAAAATAATTTAAAATGAAAATGCTATTAAGAAATTTAGATGACTAGAATTGACTCAATTGAAATCACCTGCTTAAATCACTTAAGGAAGAAATTAAGAAAATTAAAGAATTATTTCCTCACCCCAGAGAAGGTGACTGCATACTGAAACATTACAAAGCAATGGCAATTAATACTGTTTGTGAGGATAGAACAGACCAGCTAGAATGCTTTGGCAGCAAGAAACAGAAAAATATGCTTGAAATTAATTGAAACATTAAGAAAATGTATTACCTTATGTTATTAGAAAGTCCACAGGTGGGTGGCTCCAAGCAGCACGTAATCAATGCCTCAAGGATGTCACCAAGAGGCCCAGTTCCTACCAGGTCTCCACTTAGCATCCTGACTGTGTTGTCTTTGCACATAGCCTGGCCATAGGCATGGTTGCAAAGTAACTGCAGCAGTTTCAGGCATCCTATCCAGACATGATAAGATCTGCAGGAAGGAAGAGGCTGCATCTTCCTTGGGGCTCCATTTAAGGGTGAGAAACTTTTGCCCCATACCAGCAGATACCAACAGATATTGTCTCACATCTCAATGACCAGAATAGGTCACCCATCCATCCCTAAAATCACTGGCATTGGAGTGCCTTAACCATAGTTAGATAATTATAGACACTGGATATTCAATTATTCAAACCAATACACAGATTGTTAAAATGAAGACTCCGTGTCTACTCTTGGGGTGTTTCAGGAGTGTTTTAAACTTTTCCTCATATAAGTTTACATGCTTCTTATTAAATTTATATTTAGATATTTATATTTTCTGTTGCTAATATAAACAACATCTCTGCAACTACATTTTCTAACTCATTATATATAAAAGCTATGGGTTGCTACATATTAATTTTTATAGCCCGTTTATTTGCTGTAGTCTCTTTATGTCTACAAAGATGTTCAGTTTATTCTTTTAGATTTTCCAGGTCATATTTTCCACAAACAGGGAGAATTTAACCTTCTTTTTTTCCCAGTGTTTATACCTGAAGTATAATGCTTTTGTCCAATAGGAGTACTAATACTTCCAGCACAATGTTAAATGAAAAAGGCAATAGTAAGCATTTTTATCGTGTTCCTAATCTTACTGTTTACTAATTGCTTTTTAAAAAGTTTTATAAGAATGGGTCAAATGCCTTTTCAGCACCAATATTTAAAAATTTTTCTCCTAAAATCTATTGGTATGTTACAGTAGTCTATTTTTACACTGCCATTAAAAAAATCCCAAGACTGGGTAATTTATAAACGAAAAAGGCTTAATTCACTCACAGTTCTGCATGGCTGGGGAGTCCTTAGGAAACTTACAATCACAGCAGAAGGAGAAGCAAGACACATCTTACACGGCAGCAAGAGAGACAAGGGCCAGGGGGGAACTACCAAACACATTTAAAACATCAGCTCTCATGAGAACTTCCTGACTATCAAGAGAACAGCATGAGGGGAACCATTGCCATGATTCAATCACCTCAGACCAGGCCCCTCCTTCAACCTCTGAGGATTACAATTTAAGATGAGATTTGGGTGTTGACACAAAGCCAAACCATATGATACACTGACTTGTATTAATACTTTCTGAATAATAAACCATCCTGGCATTTCTGAAATGGAAGCTTCATGGTCCTGCAATTAGTCTTTTAATGAGCTGTTTGAATCTAATTGCTGTTGCTATATTTACAACTTAGACGTGTATATTTGCAAGTTAGATTAATATGTAGGGATTTTGTACAGTTTTTGTTACATTTTGATGTCAGTGTTATCCATATTATATAAAAAAATTTGAAACTTTTTATATGTTCTGGAAAAGTTCAAATAGCATTATAATAACCTATCCTATGGAAGCTTAGTAATAATTCTTATGTGTTATTATCTGGGCTGACAAGTATGTTCTAAGAGTTGACAGAGACTTATTCTTTAATTACTTTATTTCTCTAACAAAAATTGGTCCATATAGTTTTGGTTCATATGATCACTGTGTTTCCTCTGGGATTAGTTTTAGTCGATTATATCTTCTAAGAAAATTATTTACTATATTCAGATTTTAGAATTTCATTCACATTTGCATATTGAAAACCTACTTGTGTAGAATGATACAAATAGTCTTTTTTTAAAAATTATTATGTCGTTGAGGTTATTTTCTTTCACCTTTTCTTATTCTGTCTGTGCTTTTTCCCTTCTGCTTGATTAAATTTACTGTTTATCAATCTATTTTATTCATTTTTAAGAGAATAGATCCTAACTTGTTAATTCTATAATTTTTCTAATGTATTAATTTTTGCTTCTATCACTATAAAATTCTTCCTTCTTCTTCTTTTTTTTTTTTTCTTTGAGATGGAGTTTCACTCTTGTTACCCAGGCTGGAGTGCAACGGCACCATCTCGGCTCACCGCAACCTCCGCCTCCTGGGTTCAGGCAATTCTCCTGCCTCACCCTCCTGAGTAGCTGGGATTATAGGCACGTGCCACCATGCCCAGCTAATTTTTTGTATTTTTAGTAGAGATGGGGTTTCACCATGTTGACCAGGATGGTCTCGATCTCTTGACCTCGTGATCCACCCGCCTCGGCCTCCCAAAGTGCTGGGATTACAGGCTTGAGCCACCACGCCTGGCCCCTTCTTCTTCTTATAGTTTGAGTTTTCTCCCTATTTTTTGAAGTTAGATACTTAATGCATTGATTTACTTAGTTTTAATTTGTTGATATAAGTATTTAATACTAAAACTTTTCTGAGCTTTGCTCTGTTTATGTCTCACAGTTCTGATGTGTATTTTAATTATCATTGTTTCTGGAAAGAATGAGTAAACATAAATGTACTTGCAAATTACCTGGGTATCTTATAAAATGCAGATGCCAACTAAGATCTAAGGCACTCAAGATTCTGCATTACTAACAAGCAGACAAGAGATGCAGATGCTGCTGTTTACAGACTGCAATTTGAATGGCAAAAATAAGGGTTTTATTTTAATTCCCAGTTTTTTCTGATGTTATTAATTTCTAGTTTCACTGCAATGTGATAATGTGATTGGAGATTGTTGTCTATATTATATCTGCTTCTTTGAATTTATTGAGCCTTTCTGGTGGCTAACATGGGGTCATTTATCATCAATGACTATGTGCTTTTGTCAAGAAGATGCACTTACTGTGATTAGGATACAGAGTTCCATCTATACCTACCTTGCTGGTTATTTTCCTTAGTTAATTTTTGTCCACTTGATCTGTCTTGGATGAAGAATGTTAAATTAAAATCTCCCATTGTTAGTGTGCTCCTGTTTCTCTCACTTTGTAGCTCCTGAACTTTTGCTTTATCAAACTGTGTCATTTGGTACTTAGGTACACAGAATTTCAAAGCCTTCTGTCTTTCTGATAATTGTCAGCTCTTTGGAATGACATACTACGTCTTTGCATAGGAATATTTAACATCTAATGAGTCATTTCCCCTCATTAACTGATTGGAATCATTAAATTTATATTAATCATGTTAATTAAATTATGTATTTAATTTAGTGTTGATTTGATATTTAATTAATTTAATATTAAATGAATATGATTCCCATAAAAATACTAACAGCTTACTGGATAATTTTTTCCTAGAACTAGACAAACTATTCTAAAGTTGATTTGGAAAAATAAGAAAAAGGAGCCAAGAAAATTCTGAAAATCTACCAGGAGTTAAAAGTATGGTCAAGCTTCAGTCACTAAAGTGATATGCTACTAGTTCATGGATGGAAAGATGGATTAGTGGAGTAGAAATATAAGCCTTGAAATACATCCAGATACACATGGGAATTTAATTTATGATAAAGGTGGTATCTCAAACATACAAATTTTTTTTTCCCAAAAATGTATTGGAACAATGGAGGAACCATATGATGAAAGATAAAGCTGGATCCATATCTCTACTACATGCCCCAAAATAATATAAACATAAAAAATAAAATAAGACAAAAAGATGAGTCATTTTACATGAGAGTAGGACTGTCTAAAATATGCAAAAGTTCAAAGTTATGAAGCTTTGATAAATTGTGTTAAATTAATAATATAAAGCTGTTACGTGACCAAAATACCACATAAAAAGTCAAAAGACAAATGAAAAAAATGCTCCTCAAATTGCAACTCATAGATACATGCTTCATCTTAATATGGAAAAAAACTATTGGAAATTAAGAAAGGAAGAATAATGCAAACAGTCAATAAAAATTTGATTAAAAGAATAAAGACAGGACTGGGCACGGTGGCTCAAGTCTGTAATCCCAGCACTTTGGGAGGCCGAGGCGGGTGGATCACGAGGTCAAGAGATCAAGACCAACCTGATCAACACGGTGAAACCCCGTCTCTACTAAAAATACAAAAAATTAGCTGGGCATGGTGGCGCGTGCCTGTAATCCCAGCTACTCAGGAGGCTGAGGCAGGAGAATTGCCTGAACCCAGGAGGCGGAGGTTATGGTGAGCTGAGATCGTGCCATTGCACTCCAGCCTGGCTAACAAGAGTGAAACTCCGTCTCAAAAAAAAAAAAAAAAAAAAAGAATGAAGACAATTCACAGATTAAGAAATAAAAGGTGGCTCATTAAAACATGGAAAGATGCTCAATGTCTACAAAAAGAATCAAATGCTGTAAAATATTTAAAGAGGTTTATTCCAAGCCAAATGTGAGGGCCACAATCTGTGACCTCATCTCAGGACATCCTGAAAACATTTGGCTGTGGCAGTTTGGTTACAACCTGATTTTATGCATTTTAGAGAGACAGAAGTTACAGGCAAAACTATAAATCAATACATGTAAGATTCACATTGGTTAAGCCTGGAAAGATGGAACATATCAAAGCTTTGGGGGGCTCCTAGGTCATAGGTGAATTCAAAGATTTCCTGATTGGCAACTGGTTGAGAGAGTCAAATTTTGTCTGAAGAGTTGAAATCAGTAGGAAGAAATGCTTGGGGTTAACTAACAGGGGTTGTGGAAGCCAAGGATTTTTGTTATATAGATAAGCCTCCAAGTAGCGGGTATCAGAAAGAATAGATGGTCCATGTCTCTTATGAGACCTTAAAAAGTGCCAGACTCTTAAATCTCTCCTAAATCAGGAAAATACCTGGAAAGGGAAGGGGATTCTCTACAAAATGTAGACTTTCCCCATAAGAGATAGCTTTACAGGGCTATTTCAAAATATATCAAAGAAATATATTTTGGGGTAAAATACTTCAATTTCTTTTAAGGGCTGCTACCTGTCATGTGATGTTATGCTAGTTGGCATTTTGTATCTCATTGCCACAGAGAGTCTGTTTTTATCAGTCTTAGGATCTCTATTTTTAATGTTAAGGCTGGTCAGTTGTGCCTGAATTCCAAAGGGAGGTGAATGTAATGAGGCATGTCCAATCTCCTCTTCCCATCATGGCCTGAACTAGTTTTTCAGGTTTACTTTGGAATCACTTTACTTGTAATACAAGAAATCCGAATGAAAATTACATTGCAATAATTTCAATGCTATTCCTTCTGCTTCCCATCCTTCATTCTCTTAATATCATATCACTATTTGGGTTAAATTTTATTCTGTGTTTACTGTGTTGTACTTATACAAATATAATTCCCAGCTGTATTGTAACAAACTACGATAATGTTTCTTTTCTTACTTTTTGTTTTTCCTAAAGTTAATAATTGCCTTGCTTTTGATTTGTTTAGACTCTTTTTACTCTTGCTAACTCTCCCCACAGCTTCCTCTCAGTGTGATTTTCTGCAAGGCCAATCACATCACATAATCTGTAGTTTCTGCTTGTTTCTTGCAGACATGCTTTCCGGCAACCTCCATTCTACTCTCCTCTGAGTTGGTGGCATATTAGGCCTGATGACCAGCTGTAACCCTAAGATTTCTATTTATTATTATATTCAAATTTCCTTTGCCTTTCTTCTGGGTTGTATTTTTTATTCTGGTATCTCATCTCTCATTCCCTCTTGGTTTATTCCCACAGTAGAGCACAGAGGAGGGACTTAATCAAGAAGGTAAACGTAGAATCTGGCTTCTAGTGCTTGGGAAATTGGCCTGGGGTCTCTAGACAAATAAAATACATTACTAAACCACAACAGTAAACAACATACCTTCAGGGGGGCAAGAACATGACAGGAGTAGAATATTTGGATTGGATTATGCAGAAAGGCAAAAACATTTGGGAAAGTATATTGTCCTCATAGATTGCTTTCATCTAGGGCTCTGCCATCTCCAGTGTCACCTCTGTTTATTATTTTTCAATGTGTTTAGTACAGCCACTTGACACTTGGCAGTCACAATTGGACTGCTTGGGTTATGTGCTGGCCTGTCAGGAACCTGGGCTTATTCTCTTTAGAAGCTGCCAAAAGGCTTGGATGTTTTCTTCAGTTGATGCTGAAATTCCACCCCCCGCCCCAAGCACATGCTCCTAGATGAAATTGTTTAGACATTTCATTTGAGCTTCCAATATTGTCCCTAGATTTAAAAGAAGGTGAGTCTTTTAGTAAAGTTGGTTCATTCTTTGAGTTCAACTGGAACAAACCAGTGCCCCCAAAATGAAGTGTCAATGAAGGTGAAATGAAGAAAGTGTTAGGAGAGGGCAGGCACTCCACCAGTGCAAAATGAAAGATGAAGATGATGGGAGAGCACAGAAATTCCCTAAATGTCAAGGAGTTGCTTAATAGGTCAAGGTTAGAGAGACTTTGCAATACATACTCACTTATGCTGAAATAGTGTGGGCTGGGCCTGTCCCCTGCAGTACCCATGGAATGTGGGGAGAGTTGATCCCACTAAAAGAATTCACCTACAGACATTGGGAGTATGACCCATGGCATTTAGACTACAAGTATTCACTAGCCGATTGGGGAACGAAAGGGCATAGTTCCTCTCCTCAAAGAATTAACAACTGAGCAGGAAAAACAGACAAGTCAACCACATAAAATTGAATGAAACCAGGGCTACATGAAAAAACAAGGTGAAATCCCTTTTTAATTGTTTTTTTTTTTTAACTTTTAAGTTCCAGTGTACATGTGCAGGTTTGTTACATAGGTTACGTTTGTGTTGTGAGAATCTGTTGCATAGATTATTGCATTGGCAGGTGTTAAGCCCGGTACTCATTATTTTTCCTGATCCTCTCCCTCCTCCCACCCTCCACCTTCTGATAGGCCCTAGTGTATGTTGTTCCCCTCTATGTGTCCATGTGTTCTCATCATTTAGCTTCCACTTACAAGTGAGAACATGCAGGATTTGGTTTTCTTCCTCTGTTAGTTTGCTAAGGATAATGGCCTCCAGTTCTATCCGTGTCCTGCAAAGAACGTGATCTTATTCTTTTTTATGGCTGCACAGTATCCATGGCTGGTATGTACCATATTTTCTTTATCCAGTCTACCATTGGGCATTTGGGCCTTTGTTATTTTAAATAGTGCTACAATGAACACACCCATGCATGTGTCTTTATAACAGAACGATTTCTATTCTTGGGGGTATATGCCCAGTAATGGGATTGTAATAGGACTGCTGCTTTAGGACTTTGAGGAATTACCATCATACTGTCTTACACAATGGCCGAACTAATTTACACTCCCAGCAACAGAGTATAAGCAATTCCTTTTCTCCACAACATCTCCAGCATCTGTTATTTTTTGACTTTTAATAATAGCCATTCTGACTGGTGTGAGATGGTATCACATTGTGGTTTTGATTTGCACGTGAAATCGCTTTTGACTGGGATATTGGGGAAGGCTTCCCCACAGAAGTGGCATTTGTGTTGAACTCCAAGAAAAGACTGAGTTAGTGAAAAATGAGGGAAGAGGCATTCCCAGCCAAGGAAAACAGCCCAAGAACTGAAGCGTAAAAAGGCCTATCCCATTGGGTGAATGGCTAATGGCCTGATGTAGCTGGAGTTAGGAGACTGGGAAATACAGCTGAGAAGGAAATTTGGGACAAGATAAAGAGGCTAAATCCTTAGATAACCCTGAATTTAATTTTCGGGACCTTAGATTTTTATAATAGAGGACACATGTGTAATGTCCCGATGGGTTCACCTTGTCCGCTGCCTAGACAGAGCTGATTTATCAAGACAGGGGAATTGCAATGGAGAAAGAGTAATTCACACAGAGCCAGCTGTGTGGGAGACTAGAGTTTTATTATTACTCAAATCAGTCTCCCTGAGCATTTGAGAATCAGAGTTTTTAAAGATAAATTTGACATGTAGGGGGTTGGGAAGTGGGGAGTGCTGATTGGTTAGGTGGAGATGGAATCATAGGGGGTCAGTGTGAGGTTTTCTTGCTTCCTTCTGTTCCTGGGTGGGATCGCAGAACTGGCTGAACCAGATTACTGGTCTTGGTGGTGTCAGCTATCCATCAAGTGCAGGGTCTGCAAAATATCTCAAGCACTGATCCTATGTTTTACAATAGTAATGTTATCCCCAGGAGCAATTTGGGGAGATTCAGACTCTTGCAGCCAGAGGCTTCATGACCCCTAAACTGTAATTTCTAATCTTGTAGCTATTTTGTTATTCCTACAAAGGCAGATTGGTCCCCAGGCAAGAAGGGGGTCTTTTTAGTCAAGGGTTATTATCAGCTCTGTTTCAGTCAAACCACAAACTAAATTCCTTCCCAAAGTTAGTTTGGCCTATGCCCAGGAATGAACAAGGACAGCTTAGAGGTTAGAAGCAAGATGGAGTCCGTTAGGTCTGATCTCTTTCACTGTCATAATTTCATCAGTTATAATGTTTGCAAAAGCGGTTTCACATGGAGTTTCTGATTATTCATTGAGAAAGTTAGGTCATGATTGGGTCTGTGTTCTGCAAAGAGCATTCTATTAGAAGTTTGGAGAGGGAAGATTAGGAGGAGGTCACTGAGGAAGATAACCATGGAACAGGTGCATTCCCAAGAAGCTGGCAAGAGATTCTGAGGCTGCTGGGTCCTTGGGCCATGCTGTGAGCAGGGAGCTGTAGATTGTAACCAAGATAACCAAGGATCACTGGAAAGGTGACTCAGACAAAAGGTGGAGGGGCAGGTAACTATGTACATTTTATGCTTGAAGTAGCGAGCCCTTCCCAAACACACATGAGGAAAGGCAAAAGCCTCAGGCCTTGGCTGCACAAATTTGGAATTATCAGAGGAGCTCTAGAAACAACTGGTGACTGGGCCACATCCCAAGAGATTCTGATGCAACTGGTCTGGGACAT